AATAGCCATTTTGACAATAAGTGCAGTGCCATTCCTCTTGATTGCATTATTCCTGGCATGGTAAATTGTGTGATTTTCTGATGCAGAATGACCAATACCAGTCCATTTTAGCTCAATGCCTAGTGTATTGGTCTTTTTTTAATTGATCTGTATATAAAGCATTCAATTTTCCTTTTTGATGGCTTCCAATTTTCCTCGATTCATACAAAGCACATTTCAAGTTCTGTTCTATAGCAGATTTTGCAGCTGTTTCTCCTTAAGTAGTGCTCCATCACCATATGAGTAGTAAAGTATTCCGATGGTTCCACTACAACAGGGTTTACCTGACTCATGTCACCATGGTTGTCTCTATTCTGAGAAACCAGTTTCTCCTAAGTCTCATTTTGAGTGCCCTCTGACCTATGGGCTCTATCTCCAACAATGTTCTGCTTCCATTCAATAGCCCATCAGTACCCGAAAACGTTTCAAAGGTACGCAGAAGGTTTTCAGTGGCTGCTTCCTCTAAAGTGGACAGCTGACTCAGTTCCTCTTTATAGTCTGTTCTTAGTGTGGAAACTGCTGAAACCTGTTCACTTTGGTGACCCTGTTGGCATTTGAAATATCAGTGACATAACTTCTAAAATCACAGCAACAGTTTTCCCAGGTGTTTTTCTGCTAAAACTTTGGCCAATATCTCAAAACACTCATAATAAACAAATGGCATAATTTTTTGGCTCTTTCAAAAGCCAATAAGCATTAATATGGCCCTTCTTGCCATTTGTAATTCCGTATGTGATGAATTATGGCTAACTCCCTAAAATTTATAAATGAATTCAAGTGGGTAGGGAGGCTAGAACTCAAAATGCCTGAGTTTTTGTTATGTGTTAACAAAACTGGTACTTATGTTTTATAAAAGTGTCTTGAGTTTTTCAAATTGTTTCCAGATGTTCCCTTGTACCCACAACTGTATCTATATGACATTTAAAACATTTTTACTTCTATTATGTTAATTAGTTGTATTTATTTCTGATATATGGTCACCCATAACCTTTTAATAAACTACCATAATTCGGGTTACCCCAAACCCACAGCGTGTATTGTCGGACTTACAGTGATTCTATGTAGATTTTCTGATGCCATAAATCTTTGAGGGAGCAGATAATCTTTCTTCAATTGAGGTGGATTTGAACTTCTCACTTTGAGATTAGCAGTCTGAGTTA